AAGTATTAAATCATTCCTTTCACAGAAGCCAAGAAAACCTTGACGAAAGTTTTCCTTCGGACTGACAGACACACTCACACATATATTCAACTTTACAGAAACAGGTCTGTTCAGGGAAAAACCTAAGCTATTCAACATGCCCTAATTTTCCAGTGGCAGTCCAAATTTCCTGCCCTTCATCTCAGTCAACCTACATTGTATCTTGCAGAACTTACCAAATGCATTAATTGTTTATTTGTTCTAGACCTGAATATGCATGATATATTTGCCACTGGAAATTAGGTGAGCAACATCTACATTGTATGTAAAAAATAATTAACACAGTTATAAGAAAAATGAGAGAATTTGATCAATGAACATGTGTACATCATAGTAAAAACAAATAAACATGGTAAATAGATAAGTTATACATCAGCAACATAAGTCTTTGTCTTATTCTATGATAAAACTATGGATATTAAAACATACTAGATTACCATGATTACCTTGTATTGTTCAACTGACTGATGCAATCCACGAAAGCCTTAGTATGCAACAATTTACAAATTTACATGCACTAGTACATGTATCATGAGTAAAAGCTCAAGCACCAGTAATACATGTATTATAGACTTGGTGTGCAATATCTATCATGTCTATGAAGAAATTTAAAACCAGATAGTCATTCACCTATTTATTTTTTATTACCAAGGTTGAGATATAAGTATACAAACAGTCATTTATTGCACTTATCTTTCGACACTGAATATTGATTTTCTTGGACGGTTCGAAGCCGTTCCCAGGTATTACATGAATGGAGTTCGTATTTTTAAATTCATTAGAAAATTATGCTGACGTGACATAATGTCTATATCCTAGACACATAATATAATATAATATTGACTGAGTAAGCATTGAGGTCTAATCAAGGTATGATTATTGTGTGATGACATGCAGCTTTTGTTACATAATCTCTATTGTGTCCTTATAAACTGAGCTTACAAAAAATATTCAATTTCCTGTCACTGAAATCAATACATTACTAGGTAGACAACGACATGTACATGTATATAATAAAGATAATCTATTTTTCCAAGGTCACTTCATGCATAAGTATGCATATTGCAGCTGAAGTAGTATGTTTCCACTTGTCTTGACCTATATATCTACTTGTTCTACACTAAATCTATTTGCAATTGTTTTTAACTTCCTTACCTACAAATGTAGATTAAGTCAAAATTATCACAAATTTAATAAATACAACACAATACTGCAACAAAAGTCCAGAGAATTGATCTTTTTTTTTATCCTGACAAGATCTAAAGTTTAAATTAGTTCCTAGTTTCATACACCTACATGGACATGTATTGTATAAATGAAGGAAATGACAAATTTATATCTTGCACGACTGAAAAATGAAACAAGAATATGTGTCCATATATTATAGGACATTCTGCCGTGGCTGCATTAAACGATTATCACATATCCATCACTACACAGTGTTTCTGGCCAGAATTTGAAAAGGGCAAGGTACTTATCCCTAAAAGGACAATTCAGCACATATAAAACAGAATACTTAAGCAAGACATTAGCTATTATTGATTTCTAAAATTGTTTATTAAATGGGTATTATTTTACATTTACACAAAGTAATCTGTTAGAGATTTATTTTACTCTTTGATCAGTCACCATAAAAGGAAAAATTTTCCATAAAGTCACATCAATGTGTTTTATGTCATTAGTTTATCTTTTGCATTATCATTACAAGTTTCTGTTCTGGAAAAGACATCAGGGGTTTGTATACTAGATAAATATATACAAGTATATAAAAAAGGACCAACCAGCGAATTTAATATGTACAGGATTGTCCAGAATAGACAACACTGTGCAGATAAGAAAAAAATAAAAAAGTCTTTGTGCAACCGAACTAATCAAAGATGGTAATATATTACGAAGGTGATGTTATAAAATCATGTTGACAAATATTTTGACAGAACAAATAGCCTTCATCAGTGTTAATATTTAATTTTATATTTATTTATATATCTACAGGTATCAATTAATCTAATTCAAAGGGTTATACACATGTATTTTGAAATCATTGCTAAACAATGGAAATTGCCTTTAATACATTTTTTTTGTTATTCAAAACACACAAATTTATATTACAAATGAATAAGGTAACAGACAATCTGATATCCAAGCTGTTAAATTAAATCATTCAATTGTCCAAATTGATTTTATTTGAATTTAAATTTAATGACACAGACAAACTGTAAGTAAATTTAAAAAAAATTTAAAAAATAATAAATTTAGCTGTTGTAAAAAGTTTAGTAAAAGGTCAGGGTGCCAAGACCTTATGGAAAAAAAAAACACAGAGCGTTAGATAAAAAGGGCATACGCTGCACCATGTGAAAATGGTTTGGCTGGAACATTGCTACCTTTGATCCTATTAGGAATTTGTGTCCAGTTTAGAAAATATTTGATAGAAAAAATTACCAATTACAACAATCTGTTAACATGGTTAAAAAGTTAACAACTGTAATTTGACATCCCCAACAGTCCATACAGACAACAAGAGTGCACATGCTGAAATGTCTCGCCTTCTTTACTTACCATTGATTTTATGTTGATAGTCCTAAATATAAAGCTTTACTAAAAGTATCACATAAACTTAACATTATCCAAGAAAATGAGGTCAAAGTCAGATAAACCAAACCGGAAATACATGTACACCATACAATCATTCAATACACCAAATATAGTTGACCTATTGCTTATAGTTTCTAAGAAACAGACTTAAACAGGAAAATTAAACATTGACCAATGAACCATGAAAATAAGGTCAAGGTCAGATGAACCATGCCAGACAGACATGTACACCTCACAATCAATCTATGCATTAAATATAGTTGACCTACATGTATTGCTTATAGTATCTAAGAAAAACAACTTTAAAGACACACAAAAGATGCTATTATTTTAACGGAAAATTGCTAGATATGGTTAAATATGTGATTGCAAGTATAAATTAATTAAAATTTATTCTTGAACTTATCAATTTTAACCAGTCAGTGTTCTCCGCATGATTTTTGGATAGCACTGTGGTCAGCGTGCCAAAAATCATAAATATGCATCACGTTGCAACTCATTTCCTTTATCATCTTAAGTACAGGGTCCTTGCATGAAAGAGTTTTGATTGTTTTCTTCAATCAACTTATTGATTCAATTTAACCTCTTAGCTAGAGATGGGTTACACATGTTCTAGGAGTTTTCAGCTATTAAAAGGAAAAGAATGTCAACATTGAAAGTAAAACAAGGGTGAACCATTTGGTGACTGATTCGATCCACAAAAACTCTTTCTTGTACAGGTATTAATGATCAGGGTTTCTCACCAAGACCAGTCCATGATTCCTAGACTCATCATTTTCAAAACTGGTAAGTCCACAGATGCATCAAAGATTCATAATTGTAAATGTTGTATCAAATGAGCACATATACATGTACATGTATCATCATTTTATAACTATATAAATTTGGTGTCATTTCCTCAATTTTACTCAAAAAGACTGAAAAAATAAATTATATAGCAATAGAATTTTATCTCCTTACTGTTGGGACTCTACTTGGACAAATATGATGAGTTTCTGGACTCTCCTTCAAAAATCCTTAGTGAGAAGCCTGAACAATGATTAACATATTTTTTAACCTATAATATGAAATCAACTGACCTAGAAAAAATCGATTGCACATGCTCATTATATATTTATATTTATGTCTATATCGGGTAATATGACTTTTGGCGGTTTAAGAGATCATCTCGATGGTTAATTAGATGGTGTCTAAACACACACGAATACTGATACATATTATTGAGTCAATGCATTGTAAATTGTTTACTTTTAGACATTTTGTAATTTGGATATACCTTTTAGTATGTTATAAATTAAATACAACAATTTGAGTCAAATTAGTGAACATGAATTTGACAGCTAATGCCCCTTTAACGAAACGAACAGATTTATCCGGTAGGTCTTTTCACCACCGCACACCACCAAACACATTAAAATACCATCTAACACACCTAAATACATTGTTTTCATCTTTATTTATATATTTGACTTACCTTCTGAACGAGGATGAATATGTTTATACATATATACACAAATTAATAAGAAATGATATCAAGAAAACCAAAAATAATAGTCATACAGGGCTGTTGTCAGAACAGTACACTTTCAAGTCTTAACATTTTTTTAAATATAATTATTGTGATAATTTCACATTAAATAAAATGTTTTAACTTATTTGAACAATTTATTTCTAATAATTGAAAAGTAAAGACCATAAGATAAAATACAATGAAATACAGACAATGTAAATCCGGAAAAATATTGCTTGATCCGGAAGGTTTTTTTATTTTGATTCTCAACTTTAACATCACTAATGCACATAAAAATGTGAAAAACATGACAATAGGATTAAATTTTACGTAATTTAATCGATTTTATTGTTTTCTTCTGTAACATTACTGTTTTTCTTAAGGGTTAGTGGTCTTTTTGGGTGTTCGGCGGTGAAAAGACCGACCCCAGATTTATCTGAGAAATGAAATTACCAGACTTGAGGGTTTTTTCCAAATCATGCAAATGGGATATTGCTTAATTGCATGTCCTAGGCAAGTTTATGCAAATCTGGGAACAGTATATCAATATATATGTTCCTGTGCAAATGTATGATTTTAATGATGATTTCCCCATAACCATGATAAGGTCACATCAGTCTACACACATGAACACTTGACAGATTTTCTGATTAGAGAAAGAAAAATAATATAATCATCTTGGGCATCTTTTTTGGTGTTGACCTTGTAGGCAAACAAAACAGAATAATCATAGAAACAGTAATAATCAACAAGACACTTAAGAAATGCATTGACACTGTAGCTAAAGGGGAAAATAAAAGCGAAAGTGTCAAAACCAAATTTTTAAGTGCATCATATGTTTTAGAGTAAAACTACTCACTCCTTCTTTTCTGTTTCTTCTTTTTTGGTAATTATATTAACGAATCTTCGATCTTTTGTGTGCTTAAAGAATGCATTTGATAGTTATCTATGATTTTAAGAAATGAAAACAAGTAAACAAAGCCCTGTGTCCCGGCTAAACCTTAACATGGCGGAGAATGTCAACAGACGGTGACGTCATGTAATCATATGACTAACAGGTCAAGGTCAGTGAAATCTTTAAGAATATTGGACAAAACGAAATTATCGACAAGTGATTCGAAAAGTGTGTGAGAATACATACGGACACTCAGACAGTGACTTGTTTCGCCAAAACATATCAAACTTAATTTATAATACAACTGTGGCAGACAGTATTATTATGTAGTTGTTATTTACCTTGTTTAAAACTTTAAATTTCATATTTCTTTAATTAATAATTTACATGAAGCTTATTCAGTGCATATTTGTTAAATTGAATAGATATTGGTATTTTGAATTCATTGGTTAAAGATATTTATTTATATTCCAAAGTTTAGTATTCGCATCGTTGCAAATCCTTTATAACCTTCTTTGAAAAATTTATACATTTTCATGATAGAACTAGTTTGAAATTATTATGTTGGATTGTCTGAGGATTGATCTTCAGTCCATCCTAGGAAAGCCGTGCTTTTCCAAATCTCCCTTTAAGGTTAGTGCATCTGCCATATGTCTTCTTAATACGGGTAAAATTACAGTATTGAATGCTCCATTTCTTTCTTTTGGACTACATGATAAAAGTTGTATTTGTTGATTAAATTATATATTGTCTTCACTGTTTTGGGTTTTATTTACTTAGATATTTAGATAGCGATTTTACATTTGGCACCCATCGTCTCCGTTTAAATCAGTTCACAAGCTAGAACAAGCTGTGGTCCGCATCACCGAATCTCCAGCAGAATTGCTCCTGCTACACAAAAAAAAATAATTTGCCAATCAATCACGCACTAATTCAAAACTAAAACCAAAAATTTAGAATAATCATAGTATAACTTCGGACTGATATATATATATGCTAGTGTAATAGTCCCAGGTATGTGATTAGTTTTAATTCAATATATTCAGATTTAATAAAAGTTAATCAAATAAGTAATTGGAACACATATAATATGAATAAAGATATTTATTGTTCCAATTAAGGGGCTTTGGGTATTTTTCTCTCTCTGACAGCATTGGGACCACTTGTGCTAGAGGCGGCATTCAAATCCAAATAATTTTTGCACTACATTTTACATTACATATTAGTGTGTCCATTTTGCTCCTGCTCTTGGTGACTATTGTATTTTGGAGCGGACAGTGTAGTATTTTTGTCTATCGGCATCAGCAAAGAGGACTAGATAATAAATTTTGTCCCTCGAGGCCTTTTCTTGGTCCAGGTCTTTTTTTCTAATTTACATAAATGACGTACAAGACAACCTCAACAGTAACGTTCGCCTCTTTGCAGATAACACCATTGTATAATGTACCGATTATCATGTTGTCTGCATATTGATATTGTAAAATATCAGCTGCGAGACAAAATATGGAGCTTTTTGTCGAGTGAGCGTAGCGAACGAGTTCAAAAGGATTCATATTGTGTCGAGCAGCTAATATTTAGACAACCTGATAATCGATTTACCGGATTGTATTTGTGTATTTTGCATGATAGAAACAAATGTTTTCTTTGTATCGCCAGCAAACCGGAAGATGACTTGATAAGTTCGGGTTAAACTTATCAACGTCGGTTCATTCATTATTACGTCGGTAATATGTCCGGGTCAAACTTATCAACGTCGGTTCATTCATTATGACGTTAGTAATATGTCCGGGTCAAAGTTATTAACGTATTTGACGTCACAATGCCATGATAGGCTCAAAATCAGTAACGCCAGTTGTTTGAATAAATCAACTCAAATCTATAAAAAAAATTAATACGATCGTGACCCTTGAAAACCAGTTAAATACATGGATGGAATTGAAGTGTTAATCGATCGTAACGATTAACTACGATCGAACCGTTCTTGAGTTTTGAAAGCAAGAGAGTCAGTTGATAGAATTGATAAACTCTCAATTTATCGGTAACCATTGAATTCTATCGATACGATCGTGAGTATTGAAACCAGTCGAGGAAGTTGATTAAATTGACAGGTCTTAATCTATAGTCATGATTGGATACGATAAATACGATCGTGACCCTTTGTAACCCGTACTGATCCGTACTGGGTAGTAGAGCCAATTGACTGAATTGCTCAAGTCTTAATAGGATCGCACGAATGCCAGTTGATTGAATTGATCAGCCCGCAATCGATAGTACCGATTAAATATTATGTTTAACCCCAGTTTTTTGTGGGGTTCGTATTGATCAGTCTTATGTTTTTCATGTTGTGTTTTGTGTACTGTTGTTTGTCTGTTTCTTGTTAGCCATGTGGTGTTGTCAATTTATTTTCGACTTATGAGTTTAAATGTCCCTTTAATTGGTACCTTTCGCCTCTCTCAGTTTTATGATCGATACGATCGTGACCCCTGACAACCAGCTATAGTTCAGTTTGATTGAATTGATATACTCTTAATCGATGGTAACGATTTAATACTGTCGATGCGAGTGTGACATTTGAAAACCAGTTGAGCCTGACGATTAAATTGATCACATCAACTCTTATAATATTAGATGAACTGAGTACACTACATCTTCTTCCGTTTGCAATTCAGTCCACCATCTGGTGTATTTTTGAAGTGATGATACACAAAACTACATATTAAAAATACATTTTCGAATTGTTGTCAACTCTAGGTATAGATGCATGCTTCCTGATATCACTTTAATATAAGAATTCAGCAGTTCGATTCTTCATCATTTCATACTAATTAAGTAATTATGATAGATTTTTTCGAATATCATGCAAACAAAACCTTTTCGGATAAATTGAAAAAAAAAGTTTAGAGATCTGATCACTGTTCACGAATATGAGAATATTACGGGAAATATGGTACTAGATCAAGTCTTCCTGTAATTTCTATGATGTTGTAAAAGGTATGTAATTTTTCTCGAATCAAATTCACCGATATAAACTACTATGTAGAATGTCTTGATTTATTGTCAACAGGTTGTGCACTTTGATATTGGCTTCAGTGATTGCGGGCATTGTTTAATATGGCCAGAGACATATATCTGGGACTATTATACTAATAGTCCCAGCATATATGTATATATGTCCCCATTCAAATGCATTGATCGTCAAAAAAAGGGAGGGTTCCAACCCTCGGAACCCCCCCTTTTCCCCCTGGATCCGCCACTGTAAGATGTTATAATTTCCAATGAGACAACTCTCCACCAGAGACCAAATGACATAGAAGTTAACAACTATAGATCACCGTACGGCCTTCAACAATGAGCAAAACCCAAACCGCATAGTCAGCTATAAAAGGCCCCGAAATGACAAAGTAAAACAATGCAAAGTGAAACGAGAAAGCTAACGGCCTGATTTATGTAATGTGTATATTATGTCTCTGATATGGTATTGTTTATTATTGATTACTTGTTCATTTGTTGTTCTTCTAGTTTTATTTTTAAGCTATTATTTATATCGGTATTACTAGCTGGGAACAGTATGTTCCTGTTACTAGTAACCAGGATTTGCATACTTAGTCTTACTTTACAAATCATTGATCGATTACATGTATAGATATATCTGGGACTATTATACTATTAGCTGTAATAGTCCCAGGATATATACATTAGTGTATGCGTTTCCGTCATCTTGAATGTTATAACAGATTTTACAATAACAATATAAATAGAACATTCAACTTGTACAAAACGTATTTTTTTCAGTTCGATGTTGGCACTTTACAATATTGTTCGTTTCGCACAAAATTCTAGATTATATGTTTACACTATGAGAAAACGAAAAGAGTTGTCCGAAGTCATAATACAGTCATAATTGATTTTCATGAAACACTTCAAACAGTTAGTAATAATAGACAATTATAGAAATGCAAATTTCAGAAATTTCTTCTAGAATCACCAATTTTTAACATCTTAGAAAAAATTCAAATCTTCAACTAAAAACTTAGCATGCTTAGTAATATTTGTCCGCCCGGACACTTTTTACCAGGGCTAATATTTATCTCTTGCACAATGAAAGGCAGGGGGCACAAACATATTTTTCCTTATTTTCTTTGAACCATTTTGACATCTTTGTACTATGTCAAAACTTTGTTCAAATTGTAGCCTGTAAGCTTAAGGTCAAGTTACAGTAAATGAACGCCATCTAGCGGATTCCGCGAAATGTTGCGACGTTTTGTATGAGTTACGTCCCATTGACCAGATTTAGCAATGTTGCAACCGGCGACTTTCTGACGAGACAACGTTAAATTTGATGGAAAGTATGTTACTTCTAGGAGAATGAAATTGTTTGCTAAAATTGAAGATGAAGAAATGCTACAGAATTTTGAAAATTAATATGAATATAGTCAAGAAGACTATCTTCAAAATGAAAATAGGGAACTTGACTTGCGTCAGGGAGGTAGGGTGGTAACGTTTGAGCTTGGATATCTCGCCGACCATTTAAAACAGTGTAAAAACTGTAGCTCACCACTAGAAAACGTCCCTACAGAAACCCTATATTCACTGGGAAAAGATATCGTCCAGCAGAAAATAAGAAGAAGGGGATGCAAGTTTGGGACATTAATACTAAACTTTTAGTCTTGGTAAGATATCCCCTATTTTGAAAATTACCACACCAGTCGGAACAAGTAAAAATATTTTCTAATTCCAGAAAAGGGAATGAACCACATACAATTCTCAGCTGCGTCAGTCAGTCTTGAAACAGATGACACAAAACGATTTTAAATTAACATTAACCCTCTTTACGATTGCAACAATCATTTAATATTTATACATCACAATTGTTAAGACTAATATATAACACATGATGATAAACAAAACGTTATAGAGATTCATCGCTACAGTTTGTTTTCTAACGATTTTTTGTAATGGTGTTTTCTTTCACGTCCGCAATTTACTGGAAAGTTTTCGAAGCTAAAAATAGAACACAAATCCTTAAATAGATACATGTATAAATAGTATATGGTTTGATGGGTTATACATGGTATATTTTTCCTAATAAAAGAACATCCAGTGGATCCTAAAAGAATTTTCTTAGTACTGATTAGTATTGTTATTTCCTCAAGGTAATTGATATATCAATGGTTAAAAAAATAACTGGAAACAAATAAAAATTTGTAGCCTGAAAGTTGCATCTCCAATACAGAATAGAACTGTTCTAAATTTAGCTGCGGAACCGTAGCTCTTAGGTCCTTGTGTTATTTTTTTGACTTTTTGCGGACCATCTATCTAAAAAATAACATAAGGACCTAAGAGCTACGGTTTCGCATCTATTCTCAATTCTATTCAATTCTATTTCACTCATACAACTTGAAGGTTAAGAACGAGATTCTATCGATCATGTCGATATCAAACTACTAATATATACATGTGTGTGTATCTACTAAAAAAATATGCACACACACCTTCAGTACCCAAAGTAAAATGAAAAAAGTACTTCAGTAATACAGCAACCAGACAATAACACCAGGCCACAAAAAATAGAAAAGGAAAAGACATCTGATGATGTGCATGTTGTGCATTTGTGCAGATGGAATTTAACAAGTTAAAGACAAAATTTTCAGTCATGTTTCAGTCTGTGTGTGGTTGCTTTTTTTTAGGGTTGATACGCTTTTCAAGAGCTTCATTAATATAAATTGTTTTGTTAAACATAAGGCCGTTAGTTTTCTTGTTTGGGTTTATTCACATTTTTCAAATCGGGGCTTTTTATAGCCGACTAAACGACATAAGTTTTTTGTCTTTTTTAAGTCCGTTGTCTACGATAATCTGTAATTGTTTATATCCACATCATGTGAACTTTGGTGGATAGTTGTTTCAATGGCAATCAGACCACATCACCTTGTTTTTATATTTATTGGTGTCAAATACAGTTGCTCTCTGATGCACATTAATTTATTGTCACATATAATAAGATTTAAAAGGGGGTTTGCAGAATAAAAGATAATGGCGAATTGAAAATTGAATAGAGAAAAGAGCCAAAAAATAAATAAAGGATAGAAGAATGGTTCGCAAAAGTATAAAGAATAACAATGGAAAATAAAATAATAAGTTAATATACAAGTGTAGTGGTTAAAGACATGAACCATGTACAGAATAAAGCAATCATGCAATATTAGAAGAATTTTACAATAAAATCATTTATTGAGGATTAAACAGAATAAGCATTATATTCAAAATTAAAGAAATTTGCCATTAAAATTAATTAAAGAATACAGAAGTTAAGGAGACACACTTCATATAGACCCTTAAGATAATCGTTGTATTATCTCGGTGTTGTTGGTAATAAACAAAAAAATCACTAGTCAAATTATGCAGAGGGTGTTGTATTTGATGCACTATATTCTTATCTTCCCGTTCCTAATGTATCTTCCATTTTTATTGAAGTTCACATTGATCAAAGCCTTAGTTTAGTATAGTTTCATGTTAATACTATACCCCCACTATTTTGTTGCATTTTGTGTATCGTGTACTGATTCTATTATATATACTTCGAGCATATACGTGCTCACTTTTGGAGTAATCTTTAACGTTTTTATTTATACAATAAATTTTATACAAAACGAAAAGAAATTATCAAAGATGTCAGTTTGTATGCGTGTTTTACTTGTTAACTTGCAGATGTATTAATAACCACATGACACTCTTTCAATAATTTGTAGAAAATTCATTGATGATAATATTTGTCGATATATGCGATGTAAAATTCTATTAAACAATTGTATAATCTTTGTAAAACAGACGACTGTACAGACATAATACAAATTGCAGCAGCATATGAGCAGAACACTTTCTGTCGTTATATAGTACCAAAAGAAGCTATCAAATGTTCCGCTTGTAAAGTTACCGGTTTTTCAAAAAGTGGCCAAATCTTATATCGGAACGGAGAAATAATGCAAACAGATGACCTGCAAGATAGTCTAAGAGATTTTATTAATTGGTTACCGGACACAATGCAAAGCTTTTTATTCGAGAGTTTTAGTTTATTCCATGGAGAATAATTCTTTCTTTGATAGTTTTGAACAAAAATGTAAGGGTTCTGTTGACTCGCTATCTTTGCTGAAAACTGTGCTACCAGAGAGGAAACAAAAGGGTAAAGTTTATAACCAGGAGAGCCTAGTATTTGACATTCTTTGTGTCAAATACGACGCACATAATGCGGTTGGAGATGTTCAAGCATTACAACAACTAGTAGAACATGTGTCGCTTCCCACTGAGAAAGTGGCACAGGCACCACACTCATTCTCAGTGGAATATGTTTCACAGTCTTACGAACGTGAGGGGTCTGATGGTGTTGCCAATCTCCTATCGGAACTTCTTTTTTTGAAAAAGCCAGAGTCACAAAAGATAAAATAATTATATTACATCTTTTTTTGAGTCAAGACATTGGGATGATTTCTATTTTTATGTTATTATTTTTGCGTTCATGTACTTACAAAGTATTTTCTTCTGAATTAGTAATTGTTTTAAACATTATTATTGATAATGAACATATCACATTTTTTACAACTGTAACAGTTATAATTTAATTTGAAATACGTGTCCATAAAAGAGGGTCTGACTGGGGTTTACGGAATACAGAATAAAAGGCAAAAACTGCAGAATAACAGGCAAAAAAAAATAAAAGAATAGAGAATGATGAGGTGCTAAAATATAAAGAATAAAGAATACAATACTGGTAATACAAAATAAAAAAATAATAAATGAAGGACCCTCTATCCAGACCCTTATGATAAAAAGAACCTATCAATACAAAACACATAATCATCATGCGTAATCAACACCAAGAACTTTGAAAATTCATACCATGATAACTTGACGTTATGTAATAAAAATGAAGACGTCACGATTTTTGATGGTTTTTTTTTCAAAATGTTGAGGTTGCGTCGTTTCTAGAGGGAAAACGAAGTCGGTGACCATATATTTTTTTCACATCATCTTATTTGTTAGACATAGAGGAAGAAATCATCATTTTTAAAAAAAATTCTATGGAGTGAATCTCGTGATTTATACAGGAAACCGAAAAGAGTAGAAGAAAAATAAGGATTTTCCCTATATATTCAATGTAATTTAGTACCCTCTCGGACCATTTTAAAAATGGCTTTTTCTCGAAAACGAAGTCGGTGACATATACTTTTTTTTAAATTTTCTGATGTATATTTTCAATATCTAATTGAATTCTAAATTTAAAAAAAATCTATGGACTGGTCATTTACTGATCCTTGACCTTAAATGGACCACATCTTCTGTTTGTCTGAAAAGTCCCCCCCCCTTTTTCATTGATGTGCTGGTTTGTGAGCATCCCCCCTTTTTGAAAATCTTGGTAATTATCAAGACCAATAAGAAAGTTTCAGTTTTATTCAATTTGTTGATATTAGCCTAGACTCGACTGGCAGTTAAACTTCAATCCAAGAACTTGATAAACAATAACACAAGATTTTAGATAGGATTCAAATGACGTAATTTGAGTTTGATTTATTTCCCTTGGCTGTCATTTTGAAGTTATCTGTTGATTTTCTTATTTGACTAGCCAAATTGAAATATGTGATACACACAAGTCCGATAAGAGATCCTTACTTGTTGGTAGTGATGAATTAAGCAAGGCAAAAAGAAATAAGAATTGTTCAGAAAAAAAACCTTTTTCTAAAGTCTACCGGTCAAGTTGAAATTGGTTATGAAGACATTTGTCCTCTTAGACCCCTCCAACATGGTGACAAAAGGGAAGTAACTCTTGCTCAAATTGTGTTAAAGCTATCTATAGCACTTGCATTTGTACCATATTTTTTTTATTTTGCCCATATCTGCAACATTATTCAGACTGAATATAGAAAGTTTAGCATATTGAATTGGCCCAAACAAAATATAAGGTAACTACACATAAAAAAGGAACTCACAAAGCCATTTAAGGACTGTTCGATACATTTCAGCAGTGCATTTACAGCAAACCTAAAAGATTTCCAATGGATGTAATTGAAGGGTTTTACTTAAATTACACAGTTTAGGATATTAGACTAAACTATGTAAACAGACAGGAGCTAATATGTACATGAGTTTAAATGTTTCTGCAAACAAAGTTCTTAATTATTCTGATTTGCATGGGCAGTATTTTTTTTAGATACAGTGTTTTTGTCGAGCCTGCGACTTTTGTCGCAGAAAGCTCGACATAGGGATAGCGATCCGGCGGCGGCGGCGGCGGCGGCGTTAGCTAATTTCTTAAAAGCTTTATATTTTAGAAGATGGAAGACCTGGATGCTTCATACTTTGTATATGGATGCCTCATGTTACGAAGTTTCCGTCAGTCACATGTCCAATGTCCTTGACCTCATTTTCATGGTTCAGTGACTACTTGAAAAAAAAGTTCAGATTTTTTGTAATGTTAAATTCTCTCTTATTATAAGTAAAAGGATAACTATATTTGGTATGTGCGTACCTTGCAAGGTCCTCATGCCCGTCAGACAGTTTTCACTTGACCTCGACCTCATTTCATGGATCAGTGAACAAGGTTAAGTTTTCGTGGTCAAGTCCATATCTCAGATACTATAAGCAATAGGTCTAGTATATTCGGTGTATGGAAGGACTGTAAGGTGTACATGTCCAACTGGCAGGTGTCATCTGACCTTGACCTCATTTTCATGGTTCAGTGGTTATAGTTAAGTTTTTGTGTTTTGGTCTGTTTTTCTTACACTGTATGCAATAGGTCTACTATATTTGGTGTATGGAATGATTGTAAGGTGTACATGTCTAGCTGGCAGGTGTCATCTGACCTTGACCTCATTTTCATGGTTCAGTGGTCAAAGTTAAGTTTTTGAGTTTTGGTCTTTCTTTCTAATACTGCATGCAATAGGTCAGCTATATTTGGTGTATGGAATGATTGTAAGGTGTACATGTCTAGCTGGCAGGTGTCATCTTACCTTGACCTCATTTTCATGGTTCAGTGGTCAAAGTTAAGTTTTTGAGTTTTGGTCGTTTTTTCTAATACTATATGCAATAGTTCAACTATATTTGGTGTATGGAAATATTTTATGATCTATATGTCAGTCACGCAGGTTTTATTTGACCTTGACCTCATTTTCAAGGTTCATTGCTCAGTGTTAAGGTTTTGTGTTTTCGTCTGTTTTTCTTAAACTATAAGCAATAGGTCAACTATATTTGTTGTATGGAAGAATTGTTAGCTGTACATGCCTGCCTAGCATGGTTCATCTGACCTTGACCTCATTTTCATGGTTCATTGGTCAATGTTTAGTTTACTTGGTTAATGTTAAGTTTATGTGACAGTTGTAATAAAGCTTTATATTTAGGACTATCAACATAATATCAATGATTAGTAAAGAAGGCGAGACATTTCAGCGTGTGCACTCTTGTTTTCTATAGACTTATTCTAATTCTTAGATCTGCAATTTTTCATTTTAAGAGAAATTGCCATGCCAATGGACAGAAGTTTAAAATGACTTTTCCCAGTTGTTGAATAGATGATTCAATGACGTACAATATAAATGTTTCATTCTACAATGTAAGTATATATACATTACATATATTAAGGTTAAAAAAATAGTTTTCTGAGCCTATTTGATACAGGCTTAAAGTTTCTCGCCTTTACAGTTGCTGAGATGTTTCCTGCAGATTAACTGAATAATTTTAGTGCGATATACACATGCAGAGACATGCTGCTTAATCCTGCTGATCGTAAAATTCTAATTTAACATGTTTAAACAAATCAAGTTCTATACCAACACCCTTTTGATATTATAGTCTAGTCAAGCAAATAAACCTTAGTGTACAGTCACCTGTAGTTTTTTTCTATCACAAAACTGGATGTACATCATTGTACATGTATGCTCAGCCTATATTCTAATTTTATAAGTGTAAATATATGAGCTGCGTCGAGTAGAAATCGACCTTATGCAAATGAATATTAATACATCTGTTGAATTTTTTCGGTTGAAAAAATCTCTACTGAAAGTCTGTAACTGTTTGAAAATTGAGTTATTATAAGAACCCTACTAAACAGACCAAAATTAATCTTTCATTTCATATTTGAATGTTCCAAAATCAGTCAAATTTTTATACATGTACATGTATAAAAGCACTTGCACAAGGTCGATTTTTTATCCGACACAGCTCATATATTATTCCATTAAATGTTATCTATATGGCTGGGTGCATTGATCTGAACAAAGCATGGTGTGCATAATGGTCATTGGTTAATAGCAAAACTGGCCCTAAAACAAAGGGAGATAACCATAGTTTTTGATAAGATTTATAGAATCTTAAAGTATTAAATTTTTCCACATTGCCAACAATCGTGATTTTAGAAAATATTCTTAAATGGTGCTTTATATAAATTATTCATGGAAAACCTGCTGTTGTTTAATGGTACAGTATCTATTTTACCTCCCTTGAATATATAACATAAGGTTCCATGGCTTTCTAGTTGAATTTTTTTTTTTATCATATCTAGTACTTCTACAGAAAATTTACCAGAAATTTGATCAATATAAATAAATATGATCCTTTATAATATATTTTTTAGGAAAAACTTATGTTTGCATGAAACCTTATTCATACTGCTAACCAGGAGAAAAATATGTAAATAACATTCAACAAATCACAAATAGCCAGCTTTATTTTTGTTTCTATATATATATGTCATGTATTGACTGGTAGTGAAACTATATATGTCGTGTATTGACTGGTAGTGAAACTATGTCATGTATTGAGTGGTAGTGAAACTTTGATATTTGAGAGATGCTAAGGTTCTTGGAAAAGTTTTGCCCATATCCCTCCTTTTTAGCTCAGTAGATGAACATTTGACATCAGCTCCCCCCTTTTTTCAAAAAAAAAGAAAGAAAGAAAGAAGAACAAATATACAGCTTAAAGGGTTTTTGTGGTGCTATTAGGTTGCTATCACCTCTTAAAAAGAATGTGCACAGATTGAACAGCAGATTGAATATATTTTTTCTAAAAAGTTTTCTTTTAGAAAATGTGACCTATAATCTTTTTAAAATCCACTGTACGAAACTATGCAAAAAATAATGTCAGCTATTTTTTCATAAATGTATGAAGTATATGATATTATTAATTATATTTAGATGTCTTAACATTATATGACAGCTTATTTTTTTCCATTAGAGAAAGGTCAAATACTGAACAAAAATCATACCAATGGAGAATGTCCAGACTGAAAATTGATTATAATTGTATCTTACTAGATAAATATTTAATCATATGGAAATTCATAACTACATTGTTAATTTCTTATTTTTTCAGATTACAAGACCACACTTCAGTGATAAGAACAACCTGATACTTATTTTATCTAGACCCAAAGTTGATAAACAGTGTACAAACAGATCTATTTATAGTGATTAAATATCACATGGTTGTTTTGTCACTGCCATTAATAAACAATATTTTATACCTGCAGTGTTTTATTTGGCTTTTTGAAACAATGTACACCTAACAATGAACAAAATCACAGATTTCTGCATATTTTGTCTGCTGATCCTTGCAGTATTATCTGCATATGTCAGTGCAGGTGAAGAAAACCTGCTTTGGAGGAACACTTATCATCAGTTTGGTTATGGTTTACAATACCAGCCAGAATCTCAACACACAACAGTGGAATATAATGATGCTATAGATCTGTTACTTAGAAATGGAATAAAATCTCTCCTGATGAAGAAGTCTCAATACCTTACAGGTCACTTTGCCATTACTCCAAACATAAGTATATCTGCTATCTGTATGAATGACACATTGAAGATGATTCAGGATATAACCAATGGAACAACCTATGCATTTGATAGTAGGTATATGATTAAAAAATTAATAAAAATTCAAGTAACGAAAAATCTTTTGCTAAACTTTTTATAAAGTCGTTAAAATAGTATAAATTGAGCCTATAAAATATACATGTTTTTTCCCCCACTAATCCTAACTATATGTACTCTTACTTTTTGTTCCCTAGTCTTTAAAGATTTATTTGTCATTTTTATACATGTCAATCATATGGATTATTAAATGCTATAAAAGTCAGACTATTTCCCCTGTTTACTAAACCAGTCATGCCAGTCAAAACTGTTTTAGAAAATAAAATTATTTGACTACCTTCACGATGTACATAGTGACCCACTCTAAATTTAACCAACATGTTTGCAGAAACACAGGTATTATTACATGTATTATTTAGGCCATATTATTCATTTTAACACTGTGTTAGAATCAAGAAAAATGCCTGACTTTTTTTGGAGATTTACACCGTTAGTATATGTACATGATGTACACAGTCAATAATAATTTAAGGCAGAAACATTTCTCATCCTTGGGTTGGGAAACCCAGTACATTAGTCCAGGGTGGACTTTTACAATTTTTTATGGAAGTTTGATTTTAAGGGCTAAGGGTATTTCTGTTTGCCTTTTGATCAAATTTTTTATTTGTATTTCTAAAATATATTGGTCATCCTGATTATGCTACACATTGTAAAATTTGATGATCAATAGTAAAAGGATCTACTCACTATCTATAGTTGATTTCCAGTACAGGATCCCTAAGGTTCCTCTTCACCAGAGGACCAGTCATTATTTATCAGAAAAAGGGGTAACCAATAATAGATCAATTTAAAAAAAAGTTTTGTTGTCAACCCTCAACCATTCTAATACAGCCACATTTGACTCTGTTAAGGATATAGTGTTCTTATACATGTATATTATTGAAAAAATAGTATTTTTAGGCCCCCGCAGTAGCGGAGGGGGCATTAAGTTTTACCCTTGTCCGTCTGGACATCAGTACGTCCGTACGTACGTCCCATAATTGGTTTTTCCGTTCTCTAACTTTAGTTTGCCTTAACTAAATGTAATGAAACTTATACACAATGCTTATTACCACAAAATACAGATCAAGTTTGAATTTTGGTGGTGTCACTTTAACCTTTCTAGAGTGATGCCCCTTTACAAACGGAAAAATTGCTGAATTTTTCGTTTCCGTTCTCTAACTTAAGTTTGCCTCAACCAAATTTTATGAAACTTATACACAATACTTATTACTACAAAACTAAGATCAAGTACAAATTTTGGTAGCGTCACTTTTACTGTTCTTCAGTTATCATATGTCCCTTTATAACTTAATATGATATGCAAGCGGGGGCATCATCTGTGTCCCATTGACACATTCCTCATTTATCTTAATTGATTAAGATTGAAAAGAACAGGGAAAAACACTTGGCTGATTATAACTATGGTAAGTGATAGACGGTAAACGAGTGATACAGGCTCCTTGAACATTATTATTATTATTTATCTAGTTATTGTTTTGTTCTCTTAGTGCTGGACTCTGATGGGAAACCTGGAAGTGGTATAAAGCATGGAAACTTGATATGGACTGGTAACCATCCACAGTGTAAACAAGCCAGGGGACCAGGTTTTAATGGTCAGATGTGTTCTGTTTTCACTAATGCAGGCTACAGTCAGGTAAATGTCAGATTGTCAGTAGTATATAGACTGAAAGCAAAAGGGCACAGGATTCCAGTGGTCCAACATGTCAAATGTGTTCTAATATGACTAATTTGGTTATGTTGTTAAAATGTGTTCAGTCACTGAGTAAGTGTAAAGACCCAAGGGTACCAAATTTTCGGGGTCAGCGACTCTTTTCACAAAAAATCTTACGATTAAAATGTAAGTTATACTGAAATGTGTATGACTTTACAAGTATTTTTACTCTTAAGATTTTTTGTGAAAAGAGCCGCAGATGTGTTCTGTACAATGACTTACTGCAAACTAATTTCTGTAAATTTTAGGATTATGTTTTCTGATAAAAGGTTGTCTAAACAAACTGACCATCAATAACAAAATCATCAAAATGTCCAAGTAATGATTTAGTCATGTAATTCTTCAGCAAAGATTTTGTTTCAGATGACCTAATTAGTCCCCTACCGACGAAGTCGAAGGGGACTTTAGGTTTGCACTCTGTCCGTCCGTCCGTCTGTCCATCCGTCAGTCTGGCAAATCTGCTTTCCACACTTTTTTTCTTCGTTCTTGAAGATATTGATTTGATATTTGGTATATAGTTTTGCCATGACAAGTTATAGATCAAGTTCGAATTTTGTTCCTGTCTGATGATTTAGTCCAGAGTTATGGACCATAACTCTAGACCATATCTAATGTTGGAGTACTATGTTAAACCATATTTCTGTACAAAGGGAGATAACTCATTTTTTAAAAGACATTCTTTGGTAAATTATTTGAAGAATTTTTTTGCAGGTTGTTTGTTATTTTGTATAAACTAATTTTCTGAATGCTATATATATATATATATATAAAATTATGAAGTGAAATCCTTTAATTAGATAATAATCTATTTTTATTAATGTATATATTACATTACATTGTGTAGATAAAAATTGTTGACATTTTATAGATAAGTTACAAATCTATATTAGTTTGTGACAAATAAAAGAAAAAATATTTGGAACTATTACTTATATTTGATTATAATTTGAAAATAGATGTACACTGTATTACATCATATCTAATTTTAGAGAATTATTAATCATATCTAATGTTAAAGTGTTTTCCACACTTTTTTTCATCATGCTTGAAGATATTGATTGATAATTGGTATATAGTTTTATCATGACAAGTTATACAGATCAAGTTCGAAATTTTGTTTCGGTCTGATAATTTTGTGCAGAGTTATGGTCCTTGGACTTGAAAATTCACTCTTTTAATCAATTTTCCACACTGTTTTTAGTCACACTTGAAGATATTGACTTGATATTTTCTTTTTGTTTACACCATGACAAGTTATAGAACAAGTTAGCTTTTTGTTCCAGTATAATGAATTTTTACCCGGTAGGGGACTATGTATTGCCATGCAATACTCTCAGAATGCTTGTTATAATATGATATTCATGGAAGTAAGTCCTTTGGAGTTTTCATTGAAATTTCACTTCTAGAGATTTTTTTGGTTACCCTGTAGATAGTAAGCTGATATATTGGTTCAGTGTATGATGTGAGCTACAGATCGTGTCATCCTTTTATATATGACACGTTTGAAAGATATAAAAAAGAAGATGTGGTATGATTGCCAGTGAGACAACTCTCCACAAGAGACCAAAATGACACAGAAATTAACAACTATAGGTCACTGTCATGACTGTACAGAGTCAATTTTTTATAACAAAATTTGATAACTTCCAAGATATTATACACTTGTAGTTGTCATTATTTTCAGAAGTTTTTTATAGTTGTCTAGTTTATTTTTTGTAAATTTCAAAACTCATTTATCATTAATATATGTTTTTTTCTATTTTATATGAATTATCAAAGTTATTTATAGTTGTTATTTCTATATTTACAGTTGAATTTGCATTTAGCTTTTGGAGCATGTTTACCAGACTCTTGCTCTGAGACAGATGTTGGAGTTATAGTTTGGGATGGTAATGTAGTTACATTTAAAACATTAGATAACTTCTGTAGATTTATTTATTATCATGGGTACCAACTTCGTGGTTTAAGGAAAAATTGTATTTTTGAGGATATTTGATTTCGTGGTTTTACTAAAGCTGCATGCAAGTCTAAAGGAGGGGGTATTAAGTTTTACCCTTGTCTGTCCCATCCTTCGCGTATGTCCCCAAAATTGGTTTCCATTCTCTAACTTTAGTTTGCCTCAACCAAATGTTATAAAACTTATACAAAATGCTTATTACCACTAAGCACAGATCAAGTTTGAATTTGGGTGGCGTCTCTTTTATCGTTCTAGAGTTACAGTGATCGGGAAGGACATGCGCCTTGCGCCAATTGCGCTTATCGACCAGAAATGGCGCATAAAGTGACAAATGTAAGCGCCCGCTTGGCGCATGATATTTTTCACTTCGTTTTGAAACGTTGAGATATCGTCAAATGGATTTCCGATCGTATTTCGTGCCGCCATGTGTGAGTACACAACTGTGTAGTGTTTACTCCAATGATAGGAGCACCTATATATTTTTGGGACGTCTCGGGTGTTTTCCTATGGTAATAATAGCAACATGCGGTATGACTGATTACCCAAAAAACGTAATTAGCCATCATTCATGATATAATTTTTTATAAACAACTTTAAATTTGTGAAAATTGGCTAGTACAGGCGAGAATTCTTCTCTAATTATAATCTTTTAAGTAAACTTGCTATTATTTTGATTGAAAAACCCAAAAGCCTTTTTATGAATAGTATAGTATTTGTCTCCATAAAAGGGGCTTAACTGTCCTTGTCAATTTTTTTGGTCTTTGGCTCGTTTTGACATTTTGTAAACATGCCTTCAGCGAATTGTTGTGTCTTATCAATAAACGTTGCTCTCTACTGTTGTTCTTGTCATCGTGATGAAGTAATAATAATACAAGTGCAGAGGAAATGCCAGAAACGTCTTCTAATATGGAACGTCTGGAATATGTATGGTATCGACGAAGACCCAAATTTAATGTAAAAAAAAACATGAACATGAACAAGGGAACAATACCAGTTTTAATATTGTAAATAAAGGTTTTCGTAAATATTGCCCGGTTTGGAAGAAGTTATTGTATATTCATTGAAATTGAAATTACAAAATCACAGGAACAATATCCATGATATTAATTAGAATCATACCTATTAGTACAGTGAAATATACACTTTTTTTTATTTATTTTTTATTGTAAACGAATGGCCCACTCATTTGACAACATGGCCCATTAATTCTAAAAATGGCCCATTAAATTTATTTTTGGGGGGCCCTGTGCCCATTGAGAAAAAATCCTTCCAGATCACTGGAGTTATACCCTTTACAAATGGCATTTCCTTTCTCTAACTTAAGTTTGCCTCAACCAGATGTTATGAACCTTATACACAATACTTATTACCACAAAACTCAGATCAAGTTTGAATTTTGGTAGCATCACTTTTACCATTCTATAGTTATGTCCCTTTATATGGTTAATGCAAGCGGGGGCATCATCTGTGTCCCTTGGACACAGTCCCCATTTATTTTTTTCATCTTCATTGAACATTCAAATTTATGGTTCACTTGTACCCACTATATCCATGAAAATTGATATTCCACGAATAATAATGAATCCACGGAAATAATGCAAACAGAGGGCCTTGTTGCAAGAGTGTTCTAAGTTGTTAATTTACAGTGATAACTAGATTATCAACTCTGAGGTTGTGAGTTCCAACCATGCTCATGGTGTAGTATTTGACTCAAATCTCAAAATAGACAAAGATTGCCAATTTTTCCTGCTTAAGGTCACCAGATATTCTGGTTTCTTCCACAAATAAACCTGGCCGCCATGAAATAACCAGGGTTGCTAAAAAAGGTGTTTAACACCAACACACACATGACACACACTTTAAGACCCAGTATACAGAGATGACCTAACTTAAGTTTGTCAGACTTGAAGGCAGAATGTCCTTGGTTTGATCTGGTTGACTTTTGTTTGGGCTGCTTTTCCCCTGAGCAAACAAAACAAAAAAAAAAGCAATTTAGAAAAAATGAATGGTTGGCTAAGACAAAACATATGTTGAAACAAATACTGTTATCAAATATTTTGTGGATGTTTTTATTATTATGAAAATTGTGATGGGATATTTTTCGCAAAAATGAAAGTATGCATTCTAAATTTTGTTAGGATTATTTGTATGCAGTATTCCCATTTCCCAATAATCAATCTCATATCTCTATCAATTTTTAAGCCTTCCCATTATTGCATGCATGCAAAAATTTAAGAATTTACAGTAGCTGATTGTCTAAACAAGTTCAAAGGAAAATATTTGTTCGATAAATGATCTAGCTTGACTGGAATTTTGGCACACTGTTTTAGATATGATAGATATATAAGCATCGCATTATATATGTTGTATGACAATGAAACGGATCTGAATTATTATTAATTATATCCCAGCAATCAACATTTTCATCCTAAATAGTAAATTAAAAGGCTACAAATGTTATGAAAGATGAAATTTTACAATAACTAAGATAACAATGTGATGCATTCACATAATGAAACCAAAAGACACCTATTTATCATGTTTATGTTTTAACAAAAGAATGTCAAAATATTTTGTTTGTGTATTTATGGAGTTTGACTATTTTTCCTATACATTCCTTCAACGTTGAAGAGAAAATTGCTTTCCTATACATTCCTTCAACGTTGAAGAGAAAATTGCTTTCCTATACATTCCTTCAACGTTGAAGAGAAAATTGCTTTCCTATACATTCCTTCAACGTTGAAGAGAAAATTGCAACAAACATCTGTTTTCTTATCTATTCTTTATACAGTCACAAGTAAGGCAATAAATATGCAAAAACTGTTTTATTGTAATTTCTCATTATTATTATTTTCTTATGGATGGATTTTTTTTTTTGCAGCATTGCAAATTATTGATGCACAGTTAAAAGTCTTAATATACCCAATTGGAGTATCCTGTCCACAAGATCTAAAATATGCTAAGAAAGATATAGTAGCCATGTAAGTAAGCATGGTATTTTACACCTTTACAAAAACAGAGTCGCATACCTCAAAATGTACCTGCCAACCTTTAAAAACTTCCTTTGTAGATCTATTGCATTTTGCAGGCCAATTGCCTGGATGTCTCTGATACGGGTTAGATTGGATCAAGACACTGTGACTTTAAAAACAATCAGCGTCTCGACTTTGATAGTCTCTGATAAGTATTTTTTTTGTTTTAAGAGGGGTTCAGAAAACGACTTGAACCCTTGTGGCTACAGGTATGTTTTGAAATTGATGTAGATACTCATGTGCAATTGCAATTTTGCCTTTTCAATGTTATACATGGAAATCCTTCATTATACAAATTGAATACCTCAAAAATAGGCATCAAAAGAAGTCAGAATGGCATTTAATCATATATTTGGTAATTCAAAATGATAGAATGTAAAAACAAAACTTATGTCATGTATAAGAAATGCATTAGGCTGTGCTGTGTTTAAAATCCCTCAAGGAGATTTTCAGTTTCATGGTATGTGCTTTCAGGTTTCTTTCTTAAAATTTTTAGCGCATATATTTCCATCATAGATTGTGACTTTGATTGTTTGGATTTTGATTTTGCCTAGCAATACTAATAGCCCAATTTACTTGAAGCTGCAATCTGATCATACAGCCTTTTTTGTTTTAAATTTTGAAATGTTGTCAAATCTGTTTGCCTCCTAGGTTGCATGACATTTTCTGGGAAGTTTCATCAAACATTCATATTTTATAAATGTTGTGAAAATCCTTGAGAATATAGAGACAGGCAACATTGTCAATACATGGAAAAATGTTTTCAAGATAAAATTGAGATTAACATTTTTGAGGTAAAATATAACAAATTCATATTTTAGAGATATCTTCAGATTCACGATCTTGCAATCTGTTTGTTGTTGAATTTATGATGTACACTGGGGCATTTTTCGTCATGTTCATCAGACTATTAAAGGGATTTCTTTGATGCAAGTGAAAAAAAATTGAGGCCTATCGGCTAAGTATTTGTGATTAATCTTTTCTAACATTTGTAGTTAATTACATTTCAGAGTTGTTTCCAGTATCATAGCTTTTGCTGTTGTCATGGGAACATTGGCAGACATTGTATACATTTATTTAGACAGTAGTAGTGACAAAGATACTATCCAAGTACGATCTGATAGTCCACCAAATTATAACGGTATTCCTGCCAATAGTGTAAATGATACTACAGAGAGATTAGGACTTTTATCAAATATACCCAAAAATGAAGTTCTTTATGGAGAAAGTCCACCAAGTTCATGTGAGTATTATGGTTGACAATAAAGGTGACACAGGCAATGTAAAAATACAAACCTTTGGTTCTATTTGATGGGAATATACTCTTTAATTTTTAGCCCCCCCCCCCGTCACTGTAGAAGGCATTAAGTGTTACCCTTGTCCATCCGTCAGTCTGTCTGTACATACCTACATCCAAAAATTGGTTTCTGTTCTCTTAGTTAATTTGCCTCAACCAAATGTTATGAAACTTAAAATACACAATGCTTATTACCACAAAACTCAGATCAAAGTGGCATCACTTTTACCATTCTTGAGTTATGTCCCTTTATAACTTTATATGCAATTGGGGGCATCATCTGTGTCTGATGGACGCATTCACCATTTATCCACAAAAAGCACTGATGAAAATGCTCAAGTGTAACAAATTTTGACAGTTAACTTTTCAGTTTTCAAATTGAAACTTATATTTCATTACTGATACTAATTAGAAACAAATTGTGCTATGTTAGTGTTAAAAATGGTGTATAGTGTTTGTTATTATTATTACAGTCATGACAGTATAAAAAAATTAATTGTTATGATTTGCCTACATTTTTATTTCATTTGGAGCTATTTTAAGATAGGTCTGATTTTCCTAGATGGACTCCGTGCGACAGCCATTTAAAATTTTTGAGGAAAAATAATTTGTCATTTGAAAGCTTATACTTGCTACAACTTACAGTCCAAGTTGTATAAAATTTGGACAACTTTGCTTCTGGACCCTTTTGCATGGTTTTCTCTGAGGTCACCTCTTAATTCCATAATGAGATCATATTTGTATTTTAATGGTGAGAAATGTATATGTTGAACAAAATTCAGCATATATACATCTGTTTTCTATGAACATACAAAATACATTGGAAGATTTGAGAAATATTGTATTGCAAAAGAATCAAGATCTGTTTTTCAAATGATTTTTAGACATGAGTGAGCAAACCTTATCTTTCTTTTTCAATGATTTGCAAAATTGTGACTCCTTTGCATGTGACAAAATCAGACATTGTCCCTTTTTTAGTGTCATAACAAAGGACAAATCAGTCATGTCAGTGGAATGCAAGAAAATTTGACGTCATAAATGAATTTTCTTAAATAAAGAAATGAGACGAAGCTACCGTAACCGTACGTTGATTATTAAGAAAAATAATCAAATGTTTGAGGAAAGTATAAATTGGGCTAAGAATTTGAGAAATTTACTTCTATTTAGACATGTAACTGCAGTTCTTCTGAAAATTGAACCATCCTACATAGTACCAATAGTACTAAAACACATACTTTAGATATCGTACTGCAGCCGGTTGTACGAACGTGTCATTAGCCTAATGGGTCATTAAGTCTTCATTAAGCCTTTATGATGCATTAGGCTAATGAAGACTTAATGACTCATTAGACTAATGACACATTCGTACAACCGGCTGCTGGTAGCTTAAAGAATTCACATGGTTTATTATACCTTGTTGTCCTTTAAATATTCACCTTCAACTTTACACATGTACCTAGCATTGATCTATTTAAGGTCTTTTCCATTGAAATGGAAATTGTTAGGTAGGAATGAACTTCTAAAAATCCACCCAACCATCTTACTTCCTTTGAGTTATTTTGCATACATCCAATGGACATACAATTAACGATCGTCAACCTATGTCCAAAATAAAACTTTTCTACTCACATTGCCATATTCACATTATTGGAATAGCCCTATGTATAATTAACAACCAAAGATAAGTTACTGATGAACCATGAAAATAAGGGATTATAAAAATTATTTTGAAATTTATTTTTTTTTTTTTTTTTTGCATTACCTTTGTCTTGTTTGTATTGATTTAATTTTTGAAATTTTTTTATTTATTTTAAATTTCCTAGGTAACAGGAAAGATGTAGTGAAACTAACTTTTTTTTAAATTACTTACAGGTAATTCTGTTCTGAAACAGATCATTCTTTCTTTCTCATTAATAACTAACACCAGAAAACTCCTAAACACATCTACAGCGTCTGGTTCGCTTACAGCTATCAATGGAATGAGGGTTTTGAGTATGTGGTGGGTGATTTTAGGTCATACCTATGGATTTCTACCTTTTCTGTCTCTTGTAGGTAAGTCATGTCAATTTTGTCATAACATTTTGTCACCTGACATTTTTGCAGGTGGTTCCAGTGCCAAACAGATTTTAATTGCATTTTCCCTAATTACGAATACCAGAAAATTGCTTAGTACATCAACATCATCAGGCACCCTCACAGCTGTCAATGGGATGAGAGTTCTGAGCATGTGGTGGGTCATTTTAGGCCACACCTATGTTTTTAACATAGGATTGTTAGGTAGGTATTAGAACTGAATAAATGGATATTTTGTTAAGACAAATTATTAGCTGATTTTATGTGGATAGTCTTGTCATATTCACGATTTCTGAAGAGCTCATCAATGCTGATATTCAAATGGTCGTCAATATACTAAATCCAAATAAAGTTTTTTTGTGCCCCCGCTGTCACTAGAGGGGACATTAAGTGTTACCCTTGTCCATCCATATGTCCCAAAATAAAATTGGTTTCCATTCTCTAACTTTCATGACTTTAGTTTGCCTCAACCAAATGTTATGAAACTTATACACAATGCTTAATACCACAAAATACAGATCAAGTTCAAATTTGGGTGGCATCACTTTTACTGTTTTCGAGTTATGCCCCTTTATAACGTTATATGCAATTGGGGGCATCACCTGTGTCTCATAGGACACATTCTCCTTTTTTTTTTCCTTATCACATATTTGTAATAGATACGTAGGGTTATGTAATAACCACAGAATTGCCCTAGTCATATTCCTGCCCGGGGCAAATAACTGGTTATTGTGCCCTGTAATGACGTCATAAGCGTTCATAACAACAATGAGGGACGAGGAACGTTGATTAAAACGACAGCGGAATTATTTCAATGGAGGACAAAAATATATGATCTGACCGGACTATGTAATAAAATTTTGTCTACTTTTTTAAGTATTTGTATAATATGTGATAAATAGATTATAAGATGTCTTTTTCCATATGGGCCCTTGTGTCATCCCTCGACCCATATGAGCACTCGGCTGGCACCTTGGGCTAATATGGGAGTCTCAGGATGATATTAGGGTCGATATTGAAAAGGACATGTTATTATCTATAATTATTATACATTATACAATATTCTGTTGTATGGTTTTTACATTGAGAATCTTTCCATTATTTTTCTTATATAAAATTTTAAATTTGAAGTATAATTTCAATTTCTAATAAAAAAGTTAACTGTGCTGAATAAAAAAACATCTGAAATTCCAGTTTTATTTCTTTGCCTCAAATAAAATCAAATGAGATTTAATGCAATTTATTTGTGGTTTCACGCATAGGCAAACTGATTTTAATGACTAAAATTCACTGTTTTAAAACCTATCTATGTAAAATTAATTGAAAATGCATTTCATATAGTCTAATGTATATTGCAATAAGTTGTGTATATACAGAAATAAAAAATTTATAAATACATATTTTAATGAATGTACAAAAATGATTGTCAGATTGATTGATTGATTGTGGTCTTCCAATACCCAGTGAAAAATTTTTCATGCATATTCATGACAAGAGTTCCTAGAATATAAAATGAACTTCATTACAAGAATTCACAGAATATAAAATGATTTTGACTTCACGATGAGAATTCACAAAATACAAATGGACTTCATGACAAGAATTAACAGAATAAAATATAGACTTGTGCAAATAACAGTTCACTAAACTTGTTATTACTTTTTAGATAACGTGCTTGACTTTGTGGAATTACTTAAAAGGTTCTCCTTTCAAGCTATAATGAATGCCACATATTCTGTGGATACGTTCTTCTTCATGAGTGGATTGCTTGTGGCATATACTGTAATAAAAAAACTACGGGATGGAGGAAATATTAACTGGGTTATGTTTTATATTCACAGATTTTGGAGGTAAGACTTTGATTTATATATGGTAAGGATTACTTACAAAAGAAGTCAGATTATTAGCTCTCCTGACCCAAATGGTCAAGTGAGCTTTTCTTATTGGTTGTACAAATAAAATTTCTTCTATGAAACTACTCAGCCAATATGAACATTTTTTACCTTTCACATTTTGATCAAAAGCTACAGACAATAGAGAGAAACTCTAAGCAGCAAAAATGATTAGCAAGAACAATCAACAATTCCAAAATTATCAGTCCAGTTTTTATAAGAGTTACTGCCCTTGATTGATGATTTTTACCCATTTTTGAGTTTCGGGCAAAAACTAAAATAGAGTGAAACTAGACCAAGTACATTTATCCCATATTTTATTGGAAAAAAACATGATTTGTTTACTCAATGGAGAATATTGCCATATTAGAATTGTATTTTAAGTCCTAAACATGCCTCTTCTTTCAACAAATTTTATTTTATGCTAAATTTTCAAAAAGTGTTCAGTAAGTTTAATTCCAAATTCATATGCTAGTAAGACAATATAAGCTTTAATCAAATTGAAGAATATCAACAGATAGTATGTCTATACTGTAAATGTAACTGTGTGTTTTGTAGACTGACTCCAGTATATGCCTTTGCCATTCTGATATGGACAACCTTATATAAACGTTGGATATGGAACGGCACGTTTGCTACTACGATGAGGCAAACTGACCCATGTGATAAATATTGGTGGACAAATATTCTTTATATTAACAACTTTCATCCAAATTATGGAAGTCTTAATAAACAGGTATGAAAGTACAAAGATAATTCTCTAAAATTACAGTACACTAAATTAACTATTAAACATTGCTGTCATTTTTCAAACCACCGAAGGATTGATTGATTAATATTTAGCATCACTTTCAGCACTATTGACTATTTTTTGGCTGTAAGTTTTTATTGGTGGAGGAAGCCAGTGTGTCGGGAGAGAACCACTACCTTCCGCAGGAAAACCACCAAAGGAAGAGATCTCCTTCAGTGTTCTCCCCAGAAATTTTGGATAGCATCACATTTGGCATAAAAAAATAAACTGTATTTTTTTTTCAATGTCATTTGACGCGTAGTGGCGATGATCTATTTCCTTTATGTTATATATGTTTATATTGTTCAATTCATAACTGAGAATACAATTAAACTTTAACCATGATAACAGTTGTTTCAGTTTATGTTTTCTATATTCACTTATAGTTACAGAATTATTTTTTTCCTCTTGGGCCAAATAAAAATACATGTGTGGTTCCAGTTACCCTACCTAGTCAACTAAATGAATGAATGGTTTATTATAGTGCAACCTGTATATATACAATACTAAATATCTAGCAAAAAAAAGAACTGGTTTTTATATAAAAAGGGAAGAGAAATTATCATTTAGCAATAAAATTTCAATTAAAAAACTTTTTTCTTTATCATGTCTATGAAATTCATTGTTTCATGGTACTCAATGAATTAGTCCCAGTTGTTTCTTTATATCAAAATGATATATATTTTTAACAAAGTTAAGCTACTTTAGTCAGTATATTAAAACAATGCATTTTTAAAAAGAATACATTTAGCAAAGCTATCTAATAAATAGTCTGTTAAAGCGTGTGGAATGCGTAGTTTTCTCTGTTGTGATCATTTTTTCTGTCTACTGTGCCATATGTGCATCTGTAGTTATTATCTTAAAATGCGGAATTTTGTCATATCTGGTCCGGTTCCGATCCGTAGTTTACACATATATTTCAATGGCGGCGGAAGAAAAATTTACGAAAATAAAACAATGTTTGACAAGAGATTGGGAATGATGCATATGACGCTTTTAATGCATTAAATGGATGAAACGTTAACTAAAGCCAATTATGATCTCTTTCTAAAGTAGTATCAAACTTATTTAACTCAAAATCAAAATGTTAATATACGCCATGTACGCTCTCGATTAACTAGATACCGGAAATGAAAGTAAATTTTTAAAAGTTGTAAAAATATACGACCTAACCTCTTTTCTAATGAGAGAAATCGTTTGTATCTTTGAATTTGGATTATGCAAACGCAGATTTCGAATTGTTTTTCGATTTTCTGATTAAATTTGCGATTGGACCATGTGGTAATAGTCATGTCACAAGTGTCAGCTTGGGGGTATATTCGTATCCATTCAGTTATCACCCAAAGGGCAATTAACACCTATTTAATCACTCTAAATTGCCTCTATTGTCGGACTTCAAGGGATTACAATTATGGGTGATATAATTTTTATGATCACAAGCGGTAATTAGACGAAAGTTCAAAATTTAGGACATGGTTTTGCGATATAGAGACAAGAAAAATAGTATCCTCAAAATAATTATAACATCGCGGAAATTATTTTAGCATCACGGGAAAAAAATATAGCGTCTCGGTGCCGCGATGCTAAAAAGGCCTGGGGAGAACACTGTCCTTGATACAAAAAGGATCTTATGATCTCATTTTGACAGTTAAGGTGTGCATAAAGATTGGTGATTAGTGTTAACATTTAGGTTGAAATAGATTGATGTACCCTATAACTCTATGTAGATTTAGTCATTTTCACACGTACACAGTGTTACATTTTGAAGAAAAAATTCTGTGGTTAACTTGTAGTGAGCTACTAAAAGTGGATAGGAGAAACTGATAAATCAATGTATCCTGCAGTATACATAGTAATAAATCAATGTATCCTGCAGTATACATAGTAATTAAATCAATGTATCCTGCAGTATACATAGTAATTAAATCAATGTATCCTACAGTATACATAGTAATTAAATCAATGTATCCTACAGTATACATAGTAATTAAATCAATGTATCCTACAGTATACATAGTAATTAAATCAACGTATCCTGCAGTATACATAGTAATTAAATCAATGTATCCTGCAGTATACATAGTAATTAAATCAATGTATCCTGCAGTATACATACTGTGGATTCATTATTATTCGTTGGATACCAATTTTCGTGGGTTTCGTGGGTAAAAGTGAACCACGAATTCAAATGTTCAACGAAATACAAATTTTCTATAGGCTTTGTATGAAGAGATTGGCAAAACCACGAAATCAAATATCCACGAAAATGCAAGTTTTCCTTGATCCATGAAAATTGATACCCACGAAAATAAATGAATCCACAGTAGTAATTAAATCAATGTATCCTGCAGTATACATAGTAATTAAATCAGTGTATCCTGCAGTATACATAGTAATTAAATCAATGTATCCTACAGTATACATAGTAATTTTAGGCTAGCACATTTGACATCTATTCCTAAAGGATGATATACTTAAAAAGTTCTTCATATCAAACAAATGTTCTAGCAAAGACAATTGTCTCTGATAATTAGTACAAGACAGCAAATGATATTCAGCTGAAGTTTGTTGATTCATATTAGAGTGTGAGATTGGCACACTTCTTTAATACATGGCTTCCAAAAAACATTCGAGCCAATTGGACATTTTTTGTACAAAATAGTTCACCTGTCGCCTGAACAGGTAAATTTTATCTGTAAGACAGCTAATTAACCATGATTGTAATGAGAGGGTATTAATATAGGGTTTGTTTTGGTAGTACTTAGTCATCATGTCACTTTTATGACCGGAAATGTGTGGCTGTCCAAGGCAAAAGGTCGGGTCAAAAAGATCGCATAAACTTCAATTCTTTTCTGAATTATGTTAAAATGGCAAACCCACATTATATGTCCTTTTCAAGCTTGGCACAACATGTCACAGATGTAATTTACCGGTCAATTCCGGACAATACGACCGTTTTGGAAGGCCTGCTTTAATACTTGTTTGTTTATTTATTTCAGTGTATGGGTTGGGGATGGTACTTGGCTAATGACATGCAGTTTTACATTTTGAGTCCATTGTTTCTGATACTTCTACACAAGTAAGTAGTATAGTTGGGAAGTTTCTTCTATTTTTTTTTAAACTGTGATTAATATTCTTTTTTTCTCTTTTCTTAAAAAAACAAAAAAACATTTATTGCAAAGAAATAAAACGCCAGAATCAGTTGGTGTATACCTGGCAATTTAAATTTTGGTAAAGGGTTAGGGTATAGATATTACTGTTCTGTAGGGTAAGTTAAATTCTTTTGCAATGAACCCAACATCTTATTCATATAAGCAAGAGATAAATGATCACTTTATATAGGTAGTATAGATTCTATAGATTTACCTGGGACGTGCCACTTGCCAAGGGTGATCTTACTCTTACTATCCTTATACGCATAGCTGTCAACTGTCCCGTATTCTGTGGGTTATACCTGAGAATTTCCCCCTTCACACTGGATTTTTTAAATACCTGCTGGGTATTTGAATAACCCAGGATTTCAGAAAATGACCTGTTTTCATCCGTATTTCTGACCAGTATTATTTCTGGTATTTAGAAGTCAAATATTCTTTCGGTTTTCATGGCGTTGAAATTAGAATATGCTTATTTACCGTGCCAATGACAGCTATCAAAACATTACATTTGATTGAAAAGCAACAATTCGAGGATTGTTTGTTAATTGTACCACAGAAAGTTGAAGCCAGTCAATTCTATGTCCTGATTAAAAGATTTGCCGTTTGCAAATATCAAATATTTTGTAAAAAATCAATTTGAACCTTTTAATACATTTCTGTTGGAGAGAATAATTTTGTTATCAATTAAATGTAAAAGCTTTAAATCAAATCCATATGCTCTAGATATTACACTGAAAGGAAACACACTAACTTCTTTCTGTTTATCTTCCTCCTGTGTATAGGAGCACATTAGCTATAATTGATTAGCTGGGGTTTATGACATTCATTAATAAAAAGAAGTAAACTAGTGTGAATAAAACAATAAAAGGGCATTGCTTTAGAAAAATATTTAATAAATGATAAATATTTATATACTTAACAAATACAAAAGTGATTATTTTTAGGAAACTCAGTGGTACATTTATATGTTATAGTATATAAAAAAAACTCTCAATACTAAAATTGAACAGAAAAAGTTCTTATGCGTTATGATTTGACATTTTCTTCTTCAATGCAGGTCATGACCTGCATTTTCAGTTTCAGAGGTTGACAGGTATGTTATAAGTATCCACTGCAGGCTAAAAAATGTAATTAAATATATAATGATCTATTTTTTAATGTAGAATGAAATATGTTGGACATGGCGCTATGTTATTTTTCCTGACTGGTTGTCTGACATCAAGAATGATAACAGCAGATTACTATGGGATGAGATTACCAGGAATGTAAGTAAATATTCACTGAATGTAAGTTATTATTCACTGAATGTAAGTAAATATTCACTGAATGTAAGTAAATATTCACTGAATGTAAGTTATTATTCACTGAATGTAAGTTATTATTCACAAAGGTTAATCCCTGCCAAGTTCAAACAAAACCCTTTTAAATTAGTGTTTCTAGATTCTCCTCAAAGCATTTCGCATTTAGGAGTTGATCAGATATTTTCCCTTGACTTCAATGTCAATGAGACAGAAACCCAGTAACACAAAAAGTCAAATTATGGTTTACAACATACAAAGGTATGGAACAGTAAATCACCTGCAGTTGCAAAGTAAATTTTAACAGATATATTTGTGCTTTAAAATGCCTTTTTTTTTTTTTTTACAGATTTAAAGTTTCCACTACCTCAAAATTTCTCCAAATGAATGCTACACATAACACTATTTTTTGAAAAGTTATAAAGCTAAAGAGAATATAATATTTTGTGTATGTGTCATTATTGTTGAATACCTTTAAACTTGGTTATTCAATAATGAGATTTTTTTTATACAGTAATACACCATTGAACCACACCCATGAGGCTTGGGCTGATTCCTCTCCATTATATAATAAACCATATACAAGAATAGCACCATACCTAGTGGGCATGTGGCTGGGATATTTATTGGTGATAAACAGTAACAGAGTCAGATTGGGAAAGGTATTTATATTATATGTGTCTAACATATTACTTTCCTAAGGAAGTTTACAGCTGATTTTCGAAACAAAATTTATTTTAATAGATGACATCTTATTTTAAATATAATGTTTGATACATCAAAATTTTAAAAATAAAGAAGTCTTCATATTTGAAATTTGAATTTTAGGCTGAAAGATAAATTTACAAAATAATTACTTATCATTACCCTATATATCAACATGATCAAAAATGCAAAAATGTCATCGAACAAACAGTCAGTAAGTGTATGTCTGTGATGTCTGGTCTTAAGCAAAGAGAAAACACAATAAGTATACTGGGACAATAAGAACTTTTCAGTGGTCAGTAGAAATTTTAACTTTATAAGCAGATTAAAGTCCAGATGATTTGTAAAGCCTTTATAATTGGATTTCTTTTATTTATAAATATAAGCAGTTTTGATTGCATTTACTATTGACCTGGGTCCTTGGTGGCCCAGTGGTCTAAGTAGTTCATCTACATTAATCACTAGCCCGTCAACTCGGAGGTTGTGAGTTCTTACCCCACTCATGACAATATATGTTAAGACTACAATCTAAATTGACTAGGATCACAAGTTTCCCTGTCCAGGTTGGTTGTTCTCTAACTTCCTCTACCAATCAAAACTTGTGTTTATCAGATAAGTGGTGTTAAACATCAACAATTAATCACTCAATACTATTGACCATTTCAGATAAAACTACTGATAGGATGGTGTGTTGCCATAACAATAGGAATTTCTATCATCTATGGGTTGTATGGATTTTACAAAGATTTCCCTGTCATCCACCCTGGAAACAAATCAGAAAGTATAGTTTACATTGGCTGTAGTAGATTTGGATGGAGCATAGCTCTAGCCTGGGTCATATTTGTATGTGCGACTGGTCATGGAGGTAAATATGTTATTATGTGTATAAATATTTTAATATTGAAATCTTTACTGCAACCTTCCTATTCATGCTATTTGCGCTGCCTTATTGTGTTGACATACCTCTTCAAATTATTTATGAACTTATATGATTTCTTAGAATAATTTCCCGCTGTAACAGAGGGGGCATTAAGTTTTTACCTTGTCCGTCTGTTCGTCTGTACGTCCCAAAATTGGTTTCCGTTCTCTAACTTTAGTTTGCCTCAACCAAATGTTATGAAACTTATACAGAATGCTTATTACCACAAAACACAGATCAAGTTTGAATTTGGGTGCTGTCACTTTTACTGTTCTAGAGTTATGCCCCTTTACAAATTGAAAAATTGCTGAATTTTTCGTTTCCGTTCTATAACTTAAGTTTGCCTCAACTAAATGTTATGAAACGTATACACAATGCTTATTACCACAAAACTCGGATCAAGTACAAATTTGGGTAGGGTCACTTTTACAGTTTTTGAGTAATGTCCCTTTATAACGTTATGTGCAAAAATTGCAAGCATCATGGGCATCATCTGTGTCCCATGGACACATTCTTCATTTATTTTTTTAAATGTAATGCATCACATCACACAAATTTAATGTCATCCATATCATCTACAGTTTTATCCAAAATATTTCTGACAAACATTTTCCAATGTTACAGATTTATGGAGAATAACCATAATTTATGGTGTCTTGGATAAACCTTTTGATTTTTACCTGAGAAGCCTCACATTTCTTTCTGTTTCTATACATCACTCAAATGAATTTTCTATTAAGAGACTATAATTCTTATATGATTTGCATATCTACAGATACTTAAATTTGATTGGTCCGTTAGCATTTTTTCCCTTGGTTTACACTTCAATAGACCATGTTGCCGAAACTATTTTCGTAACCTTCATTGTGATCTATTCATGCGCGATACAGATGCATGGGATCAAGGGGTTCAAGCAAATGGAGTTTGAAAAAAAAAACCAAATACATAACTGTTATTTCTATTTTAATGAATAATAAAAAGAAATGATACATTAAAGCTTGGAAAATGTATAAATTTACAATAAAATAAAATTCTGCGAAATTTCATGAATGAGCTTGCTGCATTAACGTCATGGGAACACTTGACGTCATATGAATGAAAACTCTCAAGATGAAGTTATTCCGTTACTTGTACGCTTCAAATTTAAATAATATTGAGGTTTTTGAGGTATGTGTTATTTCATCTTAGATTCTATTACATTAATCGAACATTAATGTTTTCAGAAAGTCAATTTGGGGGCTTACTCCTTAGTTACTCCTTCGGACTTTTATTCAGTTTGTGAGTTAATTGCCCCAGTTTACACATCAATAACCTCTAGAAAAAATGTGTTTAATCCTATAATGTTTATTCTGATTTTGGTAATATTTCCTGAGATATGGAATCAGACAAAGAATTAGTTAATGTTTCATTGGATGAAATAATTACATTGAATGTTATTAGCAATACATACTGTAAACCATTTTTTTCTTCACAGAAATAAAGTTTGGGTATTACCTGGTGGTGAAACTGTAAAACTATTAAAATATTTAGTCCGTCTTTGAACACTGACATATATACTGTACATTGTAAAATGATTTATGTATTTTGAACAGACAACACTTTTTCACTTAGGGCTGTTTCTTGAAAAACATTGGACCCAGAGAAGACACTTTGAAATCTCTTCTATGGGTTGGTGTATAAGACTATTTTGTACATGTTGTATAGAGATAATGTAAGACACATTTTAAATTCTAATATTGCCTCTATAGATAGTTACCCCATTTTCAGAGTGATTTCCCTGGGTATCGTATATGTTAAATGGAACAGGACAAAGGAGGTTTTTGTCCTGTTGGGTCACTGTCTTATTTCAATGATTTATATTTTCATCAGTGAAACTTTTTATGTTTGTACTCTATAATATGACATATATATTTTTTGTAGGACCAGTGAACACCATTTTATCATGGAAGGTTTGGGCCCCTCTAGGTAGACTAACTTACTGTGCATACATAGTCCATCCTGCTGTGATATTTTACTTTGGTATAACAATGGAGAAGACCCTGCATTATACAGATTTAGTCTTTGTAAGTTATCAGAATATTCTAGTTGCCGATTTCAGCTGTACCTATCATTATGCATCAAGGGACTATATTCATTTCTTTTGATTACTTTTGGATACTGTGGATTCATTATTTTTTGAAGGATACTAATTTTATTGGAGGTCTTGTGTATGGGTAAAACATCGGTATATATCAGGGCTTCCAAAATTATTTTTAGCCAGCTGGACATTTTATATATTATCCCGATTTTAATCCCTCAAGACTAAATAAATAAAAGGCAATTATTGTAATCAGTTGCCGAGTTGGCCATCCCAATGATTGACATAAAAAAAAAACGATATTAAACTTTCTTTGATTCAAATTCGAAGTTCTGGCGTAAACTTATATCTGCTTAGACTCTTTATTTGTGCAAAATAACGTTGTCAAAAATTTTACTTTCGTTTTTAAATCTAAACCGGATGTTATCTTGACAATGGTAAAACATGGACCAGAGACGGATACGTAAATTCCGTGTATGTTTGCAAAGCATGAATGAGTGTAAGTAGCTCTTTCTACGTTATTTTCTTCAAGAAAATATTGGAAATAAGATAAAGGTATCAATGACAATTTAAGCATTTTTTGAAGAAATTAGGATGCATAATTAAATTTCACACCTGCGCACATGCGTACACGTGTACTAGTTCAAACAGAGACATGTCTCTGGTTCAAACAACGTGGTTATGAGGATTTTTCATTTTCACCTTTTTAATTTTTTCATCAAATCATAATTGTAAACGTATTTCTGATAATTTAAATCTTTTTGACTAAATTAATTAGATGCAAACCACTGAAATGTAAGAAAATAACTTTGAATAGACCGATCAATGTCCGGTTCAAAATAGTTTACCTGTCACCTGAACAGGTAAATTTCAGCTGTTCGACAACTAATTAGCCTTGATTAAAATGAGAAGGTATTAAAGTAGGGGTTGTTTTGATAGTACTTAATGATCATGTCACTTTTATGACCGGAAATGTGTGGCTGTTAAAGGCAAAAGGTTGGGTCAAAAAGATCGTGAATTATGTTAAAATGACCGTCTCTTAAGCCTTGAAAACTAAAAAGTAGATGTCCGTTTCATGCTTTGCCCAGCCGGACTTTTACCGGACATTATACAAATGTCCGGAATATATGACCGTTTTGAAAGCCTTGGTATATATTCAACAAAGTACAAATTTTCTTTAGGCGTGTATGTAGACTTTGCCAAAACCACAAAAATGCAAATTTTCGTCAATTCAAGAAAATTGGCACTCCCAGGTTGGTGGGGAGCAAGAAGGTGAACTGTGGTTTATTTTTATCAATAGTACCGCTTAAGTCGACGCTAGGGGCTGTCTTGACCTTTTTGTAGGGTATGAATGATTCGTTCATTGTTGAAGACCCTACATCAACTGTCAAGATGAAGAACAGTAATAAAAGCCCTGTTCATTGATAATTTTCTATGTTTTCTATGTATTGTGTGCGATTTTGTCCCATGTACATTTACTCCATATCCTTTCATTTTCTATCAAGAAAATAAATGAATTCACAGTAATTAGAATGATTCATTTGGTTTCCTTACTATTTAATCAAAGGCTTGCAGTTTACAAATAATAAAAATAGATTTTGGCAGGTAAATTTGAGAATGGGGAAGTAATTCTTCAAGGAACTGCAACCGTTATTGTTCATTGTATCTCTATCAATACTTTAGGGCCTAAAGGTATATGTGTACAAAGCATTGCAATAGTTGTTCTGTTTATGAATGAAGTTGCTATCAATTCATTGATAGGTTGACTTTGATTGACATGAAATGTGACATCACAGCATTGTTACATGACGTCATATCCTAATATTTTTAAGTATCACACCCTGTCCTTAATATAGTAGGTAAATATTAGGCAGTAGGATCAAAGGAAAATGACATTGAAACCCAAGAGTGACTTGGGGTATAGAAATATCAGATATATCTTACAACCGACCGTATACCCTTGCCAAAATTTGGGATGTATCAATTTTCAGCAACATCCAGTCAAAATAGGGACTTTAAATTTGATACTACATGTAAAGGGGTTGTCATGATCTATGCATGTTCAGTAGGATCAAAGGAAAATGACATTGAAACCCAAGGGTGACTTGGGGTATAGAAATATCAGAAAATTATAATTATTTTGTTCTTCTTACAACCGACTGTATACCTTGCCAAAATTGGGGATGTATTAATTTTCAGCAACATCCAGTCAGACTAGGTATTTTAAATTTGATACTACATGTTAAGAGGTTGTCATGATCTACTGTGAATTCATTTATTTTCATGGGTACCAATTTTCATGGATTGAGGAAAACTTGCATTTTCATGGATATTTAATTTCGTTGTTTTGGCAAAGTCTGCATACATTCCTTTAGAAAATTTGTAATTCGTTGAACATTGAAATTTGTTGTTCCCCTGTACCCACGAAATCCACGAAAATTGGTATCCAATGAATATCAATGAATCCACAGTATGCATGTTAAAGAACCCGTGAAGGGTTCATAGATAGCTCGTTACAAAGCAAAATTTCTGTAACTGTCCAACATATCATGATTTTCTAGTGCCAGCCAAAATTTCCCTCCCTTTCTTCTGTTAGACGCCTTCCTTTGATAATTTCATATTTAATTAATTGTTAGTTTGTCCTGGTCCTGAACATGCGTAAAATTTGTCAATTTGTCCCTGGACCCCTGGACGTTTAGCAAACAACAATTAATCATAATGACATTGATTATTATTTCAAACAATGTAATTGTATTTTTAGGTACAACAGTATATTTCCTTAGTGGTGGTTTCTTATGGTGTGGCATTTGTATTGTCTATGACGGTGGAAGCACCTATGCTGGGACTGGAGAAAGTTTTGTTTAAGAGATGGTTAAAGTAGAAATCAAGTACAACTGTTTTATTTGTGGACCATAATTTGATACTAATAGTATTGAGAGATGTATTCTCATTTTTAGAAAAAAAGATGAAAAATTATAGATCTTTACTGACTATATCATGCTATATGGACACATTTTATGTATTATCTTGATGCTGTTTCTAAGTATTTTGGTGCAAGCATTATAAATGCTTTATAACTGCCTCTGAGTGTATTCAGAATTTAGTATTTAGTAGAATTGTTAGAATATTTGATCTGAAAGTTATTTTTTAATTAACTTCTTGAGAAAAAGAAATGATTAAAATAACACATGTGTAGTGTTTTTATTTTTAAGCAATGATTTTTGAAGCAAAGCTTTGTAATTTTTGGTAAGTTTTAGTTGTTTTTTCTGAGACAGGAAGATGTTTAAAGAATGAAAATTTTTAACAGTCATGCATGATAGAATTATGTATTACAAATCTCATTTACAATTTTACAGATCTGAACATTTATCATGTTTACAAAAAAAATATGACAGTAAATAAGTCATATTATAAAGAGTTATCTCTCCTGATTTTGCTAACTGCATTTGATGTAATTTTTGTAGTAATTTTTTTTTTAAGTCACAAATATATCTAAATAAGTATAGAAATTTATTGAGCCAATTATTTATACAACAACAAATTGTTTAAGATTATATGTTGATGTAGCAATTATCATAATATAACCTTTTTGTTTTGATAAAGGTAAGTTTTTGTTATTGATTTTTATGTGTTAATATAAATCATTGTAGTACGACTGAAGACATATTTTGGTAATTTTTCTTTTGGTTGCTTTCTTATTGATGTTAACTCCACACACATTTATTCACTATATTAGCCAGGTCCTGATTTTTATACGACCGCAAAAAAATTTTTGTGGTCGTATATTGGTATGACGTTGGCGTCGTCGTCGTCGTCCGGCGTCGTCCGAAGACACTTGGTTTTCGCACTCTAACTTTAGTTTAAGTGAATGGATCTTTATGAAATTTTACCACAAGGTTCAATACCACAAAAGGAAGGTTGGGATTGATTTTGGGGGTTATGGTAATAACAGTAAAGGAATTAGGGGCCAAAAATAAGCATTTTTGTAACTTCCAGACATAACTTGTGTGTTAGTGTATGGATCTCTCTGACATTGTACCACAAGGTTCCATATCACTAAAGGAATGCTGGGATTGATTTTGGGGGTAATTGCCTCCAAATTTTAGGAATTAGGGGCCAAAAAAGGGGCAAAAAACAAGCATTTTTCTAGTTTCATGACAATAACTTGTGTGTAAGTGTATGGATCTTTCTGAAATTGTACTACAAGGTTCCATATCACAAAGGGAAAGCTGGGTTTGAGTTTGGGGGTAATTGCCCTAAACGTTTAGGAATTTGGGGCCAAAAAGGGGCCAAAAAAACACATTTTTTTCTAGTTTCCAGACAATAACTTGTGTTCAAGTGTATGGATCTCTCTGAAATTGTACTGCAAGGTACCATACCACAAAGGGAAGGCTGGTATTGAGTTTGGGGGTGATGAATCATAATGGGGGTTCAAAAAATTTTGGGGGGGGATTTATTTTTTTTTCCTTTTTTGTTTCTTTTAAAATTTTCCATTTTAAGTTGGTTATTTCTGATTTATATTTAAAATCAAATAATAATGATATGGTAGGAGATACACACCAAACAGGATGTGTAAATTATTATATAATAAGTATTGTGCAATAGAGAGAAATTTTCAATTGCACAGTATTGCACAATAGCAAGAAATCTTCAATTGCACAGTATTGCGCAATAGCAAGACATCTTCAATTGCACAGTATTGCGCAATAGCAAGAAATATCCAATAGCACAATATTGCGCAATAGCAAGAAATAGCAAAAGAAGATACTTCCTATAAATTGCTTATTTCTTGACCAATTTCAATGGGGTTTTATTCTTGATTTCATGGGGTTCTTTAATATGCTGAATCTAACCGTGTATTTAGTTTTTGGATTTTGGGCCCCGTTTTTAAATTGGTCCACATTGAGGTCCAAAGGGTCCAAAATTAAACTTTGTTTGATTTCATCAAAAATTGAATTATTGGGGTTCTTTGATATGCCAAATCTAACTGTGTATTTAGATTCTTAAATTTTGGTTCCGTTTTCAAATTGGTCTACATTAAGGTCCAAAGGGTCCAAAATTAAACTTAGTTTGATTTTAACAAAAATTGAATTCTTAGGGTTCTTTGATATGCTGAATCTAAACATGTATTTAGATTTTTGATTATGGGCCCAGTTTTCAAGTTGGTCCAAATCGGGGTCCAAAATTAAACTTTGTTTGATTTCAACAAAAATTGAATATGTGGGGTTCTTTGATATGCTGAATCTAACCATGTATTTAGATTTTTGATTTTTGGGCCCCGTTATCAACTTTGTCCACATTGAGGTCAAAAGGGTCCAAAATTAAACTTTGTTTGATTTCATCAAAAATTGAATTATTGGGGTTCTTTGATATGCCGAATCTAACCGTGCATTTAGATTCTTAATTTTTGGTTCCGTTTTCAAATTGGTCTACATTAAGGTCCAAAGGGTCCAAAATTAAACTTAGTTTGATTTTAACAAAAATTGAATTCTTAGGGTTCTTTGATATGCTGAATCTAAACATGTATTTAGATTTTTGATTATGGGCCCAGTTTTCAAGTTGGTCCAAATCGGGGTCCAAAATTAAACTTTGTTTGAAATCAACAAAAATTGAATATATGGGGTTCTTTGATATGCTGAATCTAACCATGTATTTAGATTTTTGATTTTTGGGCCCCGTTATCAACTTTGTCCACATTGAGGTCAAAAGGGTCCAAAATTAAACTTTGTTTGATTTCATCAAAAATTGAATTCTTGGGGTTCTTTGATATGCTGAATCTAACTATGTATTTAGATTTTGGATATTGGACCATAATAGGTGAATGTCCAATTTAAAATTTTTAAGTTCTTAGACCACATTCAATCTGTGTTAGAAACCTATGCTGTGTCAAATATTTAATCACAATCCAAATCCAAAGCTGTATCAAGCTTGAATGTTGTGTCCATACTTCCCCCAACTGTTCAGGGTTCAACCTCTGCGGTCGTATCAAGCTGCGCCCTGCGGAGCATTTTATTATCATAGTTGAGATGAAGTTAAACTAGGCTTGTAATGTGATAAATGCTTTTCATGCCATAAGTCCAACCTTCACCAAATTAGCTTGAAAATGTCCCTTGCAAAGAACAAGAACCCTATTGATTTTTAGGTCACTAGGTCAGAAAACAAGGTCACAGTGCTAATAAATCATATCTTTACTTATCTTTGTTGGATATTTCTTCAAATGAATGGTATTTAGATTGTTGGATCAACGGTCAAGGTTACTGCAGCTTTAATAGATTGAAATTAGGGGAAAGTTTTTTTTTTTGGATATGATATTTTTTCACTTGTATTCATTCTCTTGTTTGATTTCCCACAGGTACACCTGTAATTTTATAAATGTATTAATGATGTTTGTTTACTAAGAAAGACAATTTTGTAAATATAATTATCAAGTTCTCATAGATGTCAACATATCAATCTTTGAGTACTCTCTTGGTATTTGTAAATAGACATTTAAGTTCAAATGATTAACTTAAGTATACATTTGCTAGGGTCTGTCTTGAACTTTCAGCTAGATGGAGTGTTTTTGCCCAAGGCCTCACTGCCAAAGACGAAGACTGAGGAACACCAATTTAATCAAGTGCTATTTTTATTTCACAAACACATCTACAGCAAGTGAAGTTTTTCACCTAGATTTTAAATATTTGATAACAAAGATTTATGCAGTTTCTTGAAGCAAAACTGCATGGGTTCCTTTTTTTTAATCGCCAAACTAAAATCGCCAATCACCAAACGGTGACCTATAGTTGTTAATTTCTGTGTCATTTGGTCTCTTGTGAAGAGTTGTCTCATTGGCAATCATACCACATCTTCTTTTTTATATGGCTTCAATTGCTCAACTTCAAATGATACCATTTGATAAAAAGCAACCAAACTTGCATCCTAATTTAATTATTGTTTGTTGAATTGCTGTTGAAAAGTATATTGTACATCGATTAGATTTTCAGCCACAAGTTCATCAATTGAATTGTTGAACCTAACACATTATAATATTTAATCACTGAATATTTTTATAATTAAGAACGAATGGATGGCTGTTTAACGTCCAGTGGCAAATTAAATGCATATTCAGGATAACATGATAATGTGATATGAGTATAAACCGGGGATGCTATGTACTAGACCGACATGCTTAGCTGGATTTTTAAGGTGGTAGTTCACAAGTTAAAAATCTGCAGTAAAACATGTCTCCCTATCTGGACACATTATTCTGAACCTGAGCTGACCAGTATTTGCTCTTACTCCTATATACCAAGTGCTTATCGGAGCAGCAAATACGAATTTTCAATTCTTTGGTTTGATCCAGCCAGGGTGCCAACCCATGACCTCACACACTCGAGACGAACATGAGACCTCCAAGAAGTTTTACAATTAAGGTATTCTTGATTATTTGTTTATCATCGATATATGATTAAAGTTGTTTGAAGAAAGAATCATCTGCCGGGAACATTTGGATAATCTTTACACATTCACTTGTTTTTGTAATGAATTATATATACTATAAATATCATTAATTATTGTTGATGTTTCTAATTTTTTTTTAAATAAACATTGTATTTTGTCTTCTTCTTGTTTACTTTAAACTCATAGTCAGACCTACATATTTCAAATTTCTTTATGTTTTATATATTTAAAGTTAATGATTAATTTTAATCTGGTTTTACTAATGAGTAGAAGCATACAAGTCACATATATTTTCAGATAAAACTGAAATGTTGTGTATTTATGATCTTTTTAATGCATAGCTTAGGAGAAACCCAGAGGAGCCACAAAATATCAACTGCACAGAAATTATCTCAATTATTCACAAAGTAAATTGACGATTTAGTTGTACATGTATAGAAATATAGGGTTTGCTGGTTTTATTTTGACTTTTTTCATGCAAAAAAACGTTAGATGCACTATAGGCTGTTCCAGCAAAACATACATGGGATCAGAGGATGGCAAAATAAAAAAAATACGTACTTGGTTGTGGTCAGTGGAAATTGAATCTATGGTCCATTGCTGGACTTTAAAATTTGCTTCTGTGGGTGGGTAACTGGTAAAATAAAAGTTTGTTTTGAAACTTTTTTTGTCGAAATACTTCTAAATGAAATGCTGCCACGTTTATTTCAAAATAGTTTCATCACGTAGTGCTATTTTTGTCTCCACTATGATGAAAGTCACGGAAAGCGACGGCATCAACAATTGTTAAGTTTTTCTGCTTAAGTTAGTTTGATAGGAACTACTTGTGATAGATCAATGATATTTTGTATGAAGTCGCATTACTATATGACATATCAGTTTGACGACTATTTTGAGGGCCTGCCCCCTAGGACATGGTCCAGTGACTTTGAATTAATAAGCAATTTTCAATGTTAAGTTTTCTGCTTAATTAAGTTTGATTTGATCTACTTGTGGTAGATCAATGATATTTTGTATGAAGTTGCATCACTGTCAGTTCATATCAGTTTGATGATTATTTCGATGGCCTGTCCCCTAGGTCATGGTCCAGTGACTTTGAATTAATTAGCAGTTTTCAATTTTGAGTTATAGGCACTGGCTACCATTACCTTGAAAGGTAACAATGATAAAAAAGTTATTGTTACATCGGACTCTAATTGCCGGAATGCAAAATTGGGTTAGGAACTGATTAATTACGAAC